TTCCTCTAGTCCTTCTTTTCATTAAACTAGACATACCCAATTCCATATGGTTTAACCTTGTTGAAGTACGGTGATGCCGGAATAGATGTAAGATAAGAACCCAGCTAAGATTTTGAGATAACTGACATGCCTGCAATCAGACCCGCCCTATACCTGTTGCAATACCATGATTAACACATCCATTCATCCATCCATCCAATTTATATGGCTACCCATCTCACAAAAATGCAATTCTTGGGCTGCATACCATAAAAATATAAAACATTAATGTTAAAAAAAACAAGGAACAGTTGTTTGTCATGTCAGCTATTGATGTGCTGAAGAGGAAGGTCAACAAAGCTTATTTTGGTTATTGTGAGCAGGTTATTCAACCAATCCTTGACCGTATTATGCACAGCACACATAATCAAGATAACCCCATTCAGCAGCAATTCAGGACAGATGAAACAGAACAGGGAGAAGCATTGGGAAGAGCAAATAATCATTTTTTGTCCAATTCAAGGGAGAGGGGTGAAGGATCACACTTTTAACTCCGCCTGTGATGTCTCATCCAAACCCCAGATCCAGAGCAAGATTGGTCTGAGCATGAAAACCTTTTGAAAGCTACTATTACATATTGTTTGGGACATAATGAGTTTTGATGACTGTCTTCATGAAAGTGAGCGCCACATACTTTCATTGGGCTACTCTTCAGTAAATCTAGAGATGGCTAGAATCTAGAAATCCACTCTAGAATTACAATAGGACAAACACGAAGTATGGGGCAGAAGAGCCCCGATTCAGTTTATATCTCCACTGTGAGTTTCATGAAGTTGCAGTTATCAAAGCTAGGATTTTGAACTAGGACCTGGGAAATCCACATTGACGTATACCCTGAGCTATGAAAGCTTATTGGATGGTTTTGAGCCAATCACTGCCTCTCAGTGTAACCTACCCTATAGGGGAGAAAATTGCAAGGCTACTATATACTAGTAATATATACTATTTTACTATAGGCTACTTAGGCTGCCTTCAGTTTCTGGATATGAATTAATAAGCAAATTAGACAGTTATCGCCATATAAGTGTAAAATGACTTTCCTGGAACCCTAACCCAAATAAGAAGTTTTCATGGCCATTTTTAATTGAATAATTTTGCTGGAAAATTTCATATATTAATGCATTGCTTGTTTTGCTTTTCTTTTCTTTTTTAATGAAATCTTCACCTGGTGAAACAGACACCGTTATTTCTTGCCATCTGGAGGTGCATTTATTAGTGTTCCTCTAATTTTTGGTACACTGGTTATTGTTTATACAGTATAAAATTAAAAAGAGAAACCAAATTTCGGGTCACAACAGCTCACAACAGCTTTCTGAAATATGGAATTTTTTATTAGTTACATCAGTCAAATGCTGCAACTGGATTAATATGCCGTATGAAATCAGCACTGGCAATCTGTTATCTTTCAGTTCAAAGGAGTGCCTTATCTTATACAGAGGCATTTTTGTGACAAGATTTGCGGGGGAGGGGGGGAAACATCTGGAGTGGTTCATTTCCATATAAATCACTTCTTTTCCCTTCTTGAGGCCTTGGGGCTTATGTGTGCAGAGCAGAGTTTTAAAACACAATGGAACAGAATGCATTCAATAGGCATTTGATGCCTAAATATACTGCAAAACAGGCTGGTACTGTAGCCTGTCTATTTCACAGCACACTTTCATATTTGAAGTCATCTTAATTTTAAGTTATTTTGCCTACACGAGGCACTGAAATCATCACAGAGTGCAAAAATAGAGAATTTTTTTTCATCCCTCCAGAGTTGATGTTGGTTTGAGGGAAAGTCATATAAAACTTTATACACAGGAACAGGATATAATATAACATTCATATCACTTTAACCAGAGTTGGTATTCAGCAGATTCTGACCAATTCTGGAGAACCGGTACCAGAAATTTTGAGTAGTTCAGAGAACCAGCAAATATCACTTCTGACTGGCCCCACCCCCATCTATTCTCCGCCTCCCATTGAGTCCCAAATAATCGGCTGGGTCTTCTTTTGTTGCCCTGCACAGGAGAACGGAGCTGGAAAGCTGGTTAGTGGGGTGGGGAGGGGATGGGATTTTGCAGTAACTTTCCTCCTGGACTGGGGAGGGAATGGGGATTTTACAGTATTCTTCCCCTGCCATGCCCACCAAGTCACACCCACCAAGCCATGCCCACAGAACCAGTAGTAAAATAAATTGAATCTCACTACTGACTCTAACCCAAGAGAATTCAGTGTATGTACCATTTTGATTGATTTTAGTTCCTTTTTTTTTTTCTACTGATCTGAACAGATCAACATCCTGCCTCTTGCTACTTAAAACTTTGGGAGTTTCTATCCAATTTGCATTCATTATGCAAAGTTTGTATAACTCCCTCATTGCGTGATAATTGGCAATTATCAGGTAGTTTGGTTTAGATGCACACCAATAAATTTTGTCACCCTCTCTTCTGGTTTCAACTGGAGGTACAATTTTCATTTTTGCTCATTTTCTTTTAAAGGCTTGCATGGCCATGCAATGCTTGATTCAATGTGCTGTAGATCCTGAAGCCTGAGTGAAGAAGCTGAGAAATCATTGATGAAATACCCCAGGGGAAGTTCAGGTTTGGATAAAGGGAAATTCCACAAATAACGTTTATAATCCCATAGAGCTAGAATATGAAAATTCCAAGCAAATGTCACAGCTAAAAGAGTATAAACAATTAGATTCCAGTGCATTTGAGCTTTCCAAGTTCTAAAGCTAATTATCCTTACTGTATTCCACTGCTCCCATTTTAACCAGTTCTTCTGATAAGAGTCTCTTTTGTGATTTACAACTTTCTAGACAGTCCTCTTAAATTTAATGACCAATAAATGCATTTGAATTGCAACTCTCAGCTAACAAGGCTCAGCCCGGAAGAATTGTTTTAGACATTCATCTGTCAGCAAGGTGAAACAATATTGATTAAGCTTTTAAATATGTGCTAAGATGCTTGCTTTGTCTTACAAGTTCTTATTTGGGGGGCAGAGAGAAAAATTGCAATTGGAATTTCCAAGCCCCTGACAAAAAACATTAAGTGCATTTCAGTGAAAGCAGACACAAAAATAATAGGGAAATGGAGACTTTGGAAGGAAATCACACTCATTTCTTTTTGTGTCTTTCTACTGCTAATTAACAATAGGTTAAGAACAAAGGATACTTGATACTCATTATTCTCAATAAAAGCCATGGATTGAGCTGTCTTGCTGAAATCTAGCTTCCACCAATAAAAGAATCATGATAGAAACATAGTTTACCATAAAGGCCTGATTACTAAACCAATATATTGAAAAAAGCAGCAACATGAATATGGAATTGTGTTGATTTTTTTTCTTCAGTGACTATTTGTTTCCCTTTGGCTGAGCTTAATCAATTTTATAGGGTTTCTATGAGGATTGAATAGAAAAAAATACAGGGATGTCACCTTGAATCCCTTGAAGAATAACAAGATTAATACTTAGATATTTCAACAAATGGTTATTTTCTTATTTTTTATAACAATCCCTCCAAATAGTATGTTGCAGATTAAAGTGTATTTTGAAAAGGAATAGTTTTCCAAGAAGAGTTTAATGAATGAATAAATAATCACTCGCTTTCCTTGTTGTTGTTAGTCACAAAGTCCGACCCATTGTGACCCCATGGACAACGTTCCTCCAGGCCTTCATATCCTCTACCATCCCCTGGAGTCCATTTAAGCTCACGCCGACTGCTTCAGTGACTCCCTCCAGCCACTTCATTCTCTGCCATCTCCTTCTTCTTTTGCCCTCAACCATTCCCAGCATAAGGCTCTTCTCCAGTGAGTCCTTTCTTCTCACTGACTGGTTTGTTTGCCTTGCAGTCCAAGGGACTCACAGGAGTCTTCTCCAGGATCATAATTCAAAGGCCTCAATTCTTTGGTGCTTAGCCTGCCTTATGGTCCAACTTTCACAGCCATACATTGCAACTTGGAAAACCATAGCTTCCCTTGGTTTCCCCTAAATCAGCATTTGGCACACAACTAATGAGTGCTTATAATTGTCGATACTCTTGTGTTTTAAAATAGGTTGTAAACATTAATGTGATACCTCTCCTTTGCAATTCAGAAAGATCTTAAACCTATGAAAAACACAGTTTGAATTTTGTCACATTGGAAACTTCTGAAATATCATTAGGCAAGAATCCGTTCTGCCAGCTTCAACTCTTAAAGACAACTACGGTCTCTTGCCCCATTATGCTCAATATCACTGATTTTATAATAGCTTTTTTTTCAGAGTGCAAAATGGGACAGATGTGATCCCCAAACTTCTCCACAATAGGCAGGGCCAAATATTTGTCCCTACATTTTGCAAGGGAGGATATTAAAATATAAAAAAGGTAGTTTAAGCCTTGTATAGGATTGTACCTCTTGATTCCCCCAACAACCTCCACTCACTAATTCTTAACTCTGCTTACTTTTGAGAGAGGTCCTCAAAATGCCAGTTTAGTGTGGCACATCTGCTCTATGGGGTTCCAGGCATTACTTGTATCTGCATGGAGCCGAGCTCATTCAGCATGTCAAACAGGTTCTGTGCCACTTAGCTTTCCTAATATAGAGGGCATTCATATCTGGAGACCTTCTTTATTTACACATCACCTGCTTGGTGGGTAAATTCCTCAGCCACACAAGAGCAGGTGCTTTCAAACCTCTACACTATCTTAATGTGCTGTGTTTAAGAAAAGGCGGGCCATACATTAAAATGGAATTTCATTGCCTACAGCTCTGAAAGGGTCACCACCTCCAATATACACTACATAAACATGACAAAACAAAACATAAATAAATAAAAACAATACAAAATTATATTGAAGGTGGTGGTGACCCTTTGTGAGCTGTAGGTATCGAAATTTCATTTTAATGTATCCCAATTAGTGTACATTCAAAGTGACAATAAAGTTATTCTATTCTATTCTAAAAATATTCTGTCATCTTTCCACTTTTTAGGATGGCAGCTTATGGCCTTCGGAAAGCACAGTGTCAGGAAATGGTGTAACAGAGGTAAGGAACAAACATGAAATAGAGGATAAAGCTCAATTCCTTGGTTTGCATGGCAACCTCATGGTTTTTCCTCCTTCTTCTCTCCAGCAGCAAGTCTATACACCAAGGCCTACCGACAGACTAGCAGTCCCATCCTTTTTGCAGAGAGACCGCTTCAACAGATTCCAGCCAACCTACCCATATATGCAGCACGAAATTGACCTGCCCCCTACCATCTCCCTGTCGGATGGAGAAGAGCCACCTCCTTATCAAGGGCCCTGCACCCTGCAGCTCCGAGACCCCGAGCAGCAAATGGAACTCAACAGGGAGTCGGTCCGAGCTCCTCCCAACAGAACCATCTTTGACAGTGACCTGATAGATAGTTCAGTCTATGGAGGGCCCTGCCCTCCGAGCAGCAACTCGGGCATCAGTGCGACCTGCTACGGAAGCAACAGCCGAATGGAAGGGCCTCCTCCCACGTACAATGAGGTCATTGGCCATTTCCCGGGATCCACGTTTTACCAGCACCAGCAGAACAACAATGGGGTACCTTCGTTCACTTCGCCTTCGCCCATCAGCAATCTCGAGAGCACAACGATGTGGAACAAAGAGAAGGACAAACAGAAAGGGCACCCTTTTTAAGAAAAGAAAGGAAAAGAAAAGAAAGGAAAGGAAACACTCTGCACTTCTTGATAAATAGGAGGGGGGTAGGATATGGAGATGGGGAGGAGGATGAAACCAAACTCCCTTCTCCAACTCTGTGTAGTATAAATATTTACATGTTATGTTTGGTCTGAATGCACAAGCCAACAAAACTTGCAAAAACATTTCTTTGTTGAGCTCTGTTAGGAAGATTTTGATTTTTTTTTTTCCTTTCTAAATAAATCTACAGCAGTCCTTTCCCGCTCCCTCCTCCTCGCCCATTTCCCCTTCCCCAGTTTTGTATCTAGTTGAATTGCGTGTGTGGATGCTACGACTTTCGTTTTATTTCACTTAACTTTAAAGGTTGAAAAAAAAAATATTTGCACAAAAACATTTGTTTAAAAATCTGCAATATATATATAAATATATATATTAAAAAAAATAAGAGGAACTGTATGTGTGTGGGGGTGGGAAGCAGGAGTATTTTTATATTAGAAGAGGCCTATTGAGGAAAAAAAACAACGATTTGTTGTGTTTTTTTTTTTTTCCTGAACTTAGAATATAAAAACATGGCAACTTTTGAGAGCCAATTCAAGAAAGCATGTATGACGTTGTAAAAAAGTGAGAAAGAAAAACAATAGGAAAAAAAAGAAAAAAAAACAAAAGCAGGGGTTTAGAATTATTTATATAAATGTTGAAATTTTGCACTATTTTTTAATATAAATGTGTCAGTGCTTGTGTTTGGTTAGAAATCTCTTATCCTGTCTACCATAAAACTGTTGAGGAAAGGACGTTGAGGTCTGAACAGAGTCACGGCGGGGGAGGGGGGAGAAGGACTGCATCTTGTGCAAAATTTTCTTTTTTTTAATACTTCAGAGTCACATGACCCTCTCTTAGACCTCTTGGTAGTTCCTTGGCACCTATCAACAAGTACAGACGGATGCCTATAAAAGAGACCAGAACCTACCATGTACATGTATTTCATTAACTGTGAAGGGGCTGAGCATGTATAAAAATTGCCCCTTTAAAGAAATGAGCAAGTTAATTGTGTCCATGCCCCACAGATTCCCCCTCTGTGCTTGAGGGTGTGCTTCATAAGGGGAAGAGGCCATTTCTACACCTGTGAGTATATGTTTCTCCATCGATCTGATGCCTATGTATTTTCTTTGTACTGGGTTTTTTTTTTTTTTTTTTTGCACTCGGGTGTTCATTCCCAGGCTTGTCAAGCAGCATAATGCTTACATAATCCTACATTCCCTGTGAAATCATTATGTTTTTTAAAAAGGGAACATTTAACATGTGAAATTGATTTATGGCTATTAGGGCATGAAAAAAAATAATAATTCAAAAATGAAGAGCTTAATTGTGCAAAACCTTAGTGTCGCGTGTGATCCCAGTTGGGCTGGAGTGCTGTTCATCCTGAACTTGTGTGCAGTTAGTTAGAACAATGCCTAAGCAAGACCGTTTCCCCTTGACATCCCTGTAGCTTTTTCTCCTTCTATAAAAGTAGAATTTGTCTCAGAGTTGAAGCTAATCTCTTGCTTAGATAAACTACTTTTCTGCTCCAGAGCTTTGAAGCACCCAGGTGTTTTTATATTTTGCAAAATCAAGCCCTCCAAAAGGCAAATTGGAATAGCTGCTCTATTTTTATTGTCTTGTTAATTTCCAGGAAAGCCATAAAAACATACACGGTCATTAAATTATTTTCTTTTTTAATGACCAGGTGATGGCTTCTGATTGTCATCATTTTTTTTTAATAACAAAATAATTTGGTGCTCTCTCTGGTTAAGATAATAAAAGGAGTGAAGGAACATCAAGATTCAGAAGCCCTGCCTTTGAGATTAATAGCGCTCCCAGCAACGTGTTCCAGGCACCCTGCTTTTCGCAAGATTTTAAATAAGTTTTACAAGTGAAGGTTGCTCACATGGCAAAGCCATGGTCCCTGTGCTGCTTTATTTTTTTATTTTTGTTTAAGTAGGAAGAGGGACCAGTGACAAGCATATGCTTGTCCTATTGGGTCCAAAAATGGAGTTAACTCTAAAATACTTTTTATTTATCCCATGGTTAAAGGAAGATGGGCATGGTCCTTCTTTACATCTGCTAATCTGAGTCTGTAGGTTTCTCTGAAAGCCAAATGGAGTTTGCACCCTGCTAAGTGGAGGAAAGAAACCATTCACCCCTAATTTCAGGTTCCAGCTAAAAAGCAGGGTTAAAAAAAAGAATAGGGAAAATATATTAACCAACCCCTCCCCCCCAGTAAATCAGCTTTCCACTTCGCTGTTCACAGTAGTGCCGGGCACTGGGACCAAGCAGTTGGGTGAAGGAAATTGCAGGCACCCCTCTGCTTTGTGGTCCGAGGTTCCATCTATCTTTGTGTATCACTCCATCTTGAAAGAAAAGGAGGGGGCCCTGAAGACTACCCTTTCTGAATTACCCTCATCTCTTGACTGCTGCCTTTGATTGTTAACTGTGTTTTATTTATTTCAGCTGGGGATTAGGGGAAACAGGTGGATGGAAATATTTCAGCTACTATGATGTATTCAAGGCAAAAGAGTCATGTTCAGGTTTTAGAAGCAAATCCAGAACCTCTTAGCAATGTTGGTTCTGTGTTTGCCATCTGCGATCAGGATCCTTCTGGATCAAGGGTGCACCATCTAACCTTCAATCAAACAAATCAGTGCATGTCATCTGCTTCTTTAAAGAGTTCTTCCCCCCCCCCCCCACTTTCTCTCTATCATTTTGTCTTTTGTTTACACTTTTTTTATTTTAAGGTATAAAGGTCTGCTTGGTTGTTTTTAATCCACATGGTTAATTCATGTATGATTTGAGTAACAGAGAGTGAAAGGCATAAATGATAAAGAGGAAGAGGAAGAAATTGTTTAAACATTTCCAGAGCATCCATCTCTGGATCTCTCTGTGCTCAACGTTTAAGTTTTAGCTAGGAAGGTAGTTGTTTTTTTCCAAAACAAGCCATCCTGGGCAAACAATACAGCTTTGAGCAGAGTAGAGATTGGAAACTTGATATCACCATATTTGCACAGTCTGAGGAGACCAGGCCCATCAATGTTTCGAGTTCAGAATTGCTATCTCAACTTTTGCTGATCATTGAAGGATATCAATATTCCTGTTTCTAATTACATCATCAGCCTTTGATCAAGACTATGGGGGAAAAAAAGGCAGTTGGGTTCACTGGACATCTTTAGCTGCTGATAAAGAAACAGCTATCAGGGCCAGTTGGCTACACAGTTCCAGACCTAATTAGCAGAGGGAGCTGTATGTATACAAGGAGGTGTAATTTGGTTTTTGCCAGATGCTAACTAGGAAGGTAACATAAATGAAAGATATAAAGGCAATAACTCTTCTTTTTATGCGATTTTTGTACTACTTGAAGAAGAAGAAAGTCTTGAGCGCAACCTGATGAGTTTTAAAGTTTTAAATAATTTGGGATTTTATATATATATATATATATATATATATATATATATGGATCGTAATGAAAATATAAAAATGAACATTTTTTTAAAATGGCACCTTTTGTGGGGGGCCTAGGAATAGAAAACCTCAACCTCCCTCTATAGCTCCTTAATAATAGCTTTACAACAACTCCAATTTGCAGTTTTTTAAAAAAGATAAAAATAAGGAATAACTCTATCTTCTTGTGAAAGTCAAAGAATTTCTAGACTTTTTAAAAATGTATCTTTCCTTTATGTAACATGTCTATTTAGTGCCTTATTAAAAGAAACCATAAGCCTCCCTTTTTTTCTTTTGCAAAAAAATAGATAAAAGAGGGGCAGATTCTATCATTGGTAGTGATAAGAATTTCCATAGTATGGGCACTTTTAGATCCATCTTGGGATTTCAAGTTTTCTTTTTTTTAAAGTCTGTACACTTGACTCCTTTACATCCAGTCTAATGTATTTATTTACATGAAGCACTCTTTCCTCATCTTTTGCCATGTGCTTGTTAGGTAGCTTAAATACCTGTTATGCACATATCCTACCCTAGTAAAATTGGGTAGTAAAATTGTGGTAGAGAATATAATCGAGAATATCAACCAAAAAAACCCTGAAATATATCTACTGCCCTCTTGAGCCAAAATAAGTAAACAGTAATTTTTATGGATCTTTTTTTACTTCTCTCCTCTTGTTTTTTTTTCTCTTCTTTGATCTGTGGTTTTTACTATACACTTGTATACATAAATACGATGCCTAAATTCTCTACCATAATTAAAAAAAAACCATCAGCATGGCTGCAAGATACTAAGTCACGGGAGTGCCTTGTACAAAATGAACCAAAATTTGGGACTGGTGTTGTGTTGGCATCATTGAGTGCATCATTGGGTACGATCACGGCCGTGCAATGGCATGGGGGCTCATGACAGATTGCCCAGAGCCTTTCTAAGTTTGCCAGCAGTAACCAACCATAATAGGATGGAAGGAAACTTTCTTCACTTGCCTGGTGAGGTTGGCCAAATGAAACACTACAATGGAGGAGAAAAAAATTGTTCATAGGAATAGTAAAAAGTTGGAAGGAGTGGTTTGCACAAGTGTTTCTGATATTCTAAAACTCAGCTGCCAAACTTTGTTCCTGTCTCTTCTCTACATTTATTGGGGGGAAAAAGAAGTGACCTTTCTGTCATTGGCATGAAGTGGTATGGGGGTGGAAATACTTAGTTCCACTTCTCTGTGTCAGTTTCTATTAGCCAGACAAGAGCAGGATCAGGAAAAAAAAAAGATGGCGCCTTTTCCCACAAAGAAAACGAATAGGGTTTATTACACAGGACAAAATGAAATGTCCAACTTTGCTTATTTTTTTTCTGAGCTGCTAATTATCTTCTCTTCCTCCCCTTGTATCCACACTTCCCATGGGAAAATTTAGTTGACTCAACCAGCCACATTGTTAATATCAATGATTGTTGCAGATCCATCTATTGACTTGCCTGTTTGGGTTTTCAACACCAGTCTTGGGTTAAGAAGGCCCCAGTGTATCCTAATTCAGTGAGACCTCTCTGAAAAATAGTTTATTTAGGTGGACTTGTTCTCCCCATTCAAGGTATTTTGGCCTCAGCCTTGAAAGTATCTATTACCCATTTGTCCTTTCACTAAAAAATAAATAAAAGCTGAGTCTTCATTTTAATGTAACAGAAATGCAACTTCACTGGTTGTTGCTAAGCCTCTTGCCTCTTCTGACAAGCATTGTTACATGGAAGGCAGGCATTCGATAAGCAAAAGTAATTGTGTTCCCATGCCAGATAATTCTGCAATTGTTTGGTTTTTGACCAATCATGAATCAACTATAGGAATTTTGCTGGGTCCCTCACACTTAGTAGAAGCATGGCCATAGGAATTCAGAAACCTGAACTCACTTGAATAAGGAGTCCCTATCTGTCGGGCTTTCTTTTTTCACACCTGCTTTAAGGGTTCCGGAATCAGTTCACCTTCCCTCTGCCATTTTTTAATCTCTGCATCTATTGCAAATAATTTTGTGATGAAGTCCGCAGCACTAATAAACTGGTAACCTTGCTTTTTAAAATTTTGTATTTTTTCAGTCCTGCAAATATGAATCCAACACTCTTTCACTCCTGACAGAAATCATATTAAGAATTCATTTGTATGTACTTTGCAGAGTAGACTTTTTCATCAATAACGGGATAATAATGTGAAATTATCTTCTTTCCCATTAAATTGTAAACCAAGCCAGGTGGGGAGAGGGGCTCATTAAGCTATATGAATCTGGCTCTTTCTTGACCAACAAGTAAGAATGATAAAGGATTATTTGACAAAATACCAGGAAGATGTTATCCTTTGACTATAGAATGGAGGCTGACAGCTCAGAAAGAGATCAAATCAGCAAAGTTGAATGGGGGGAAATTAGGCTTAGTTTATATTTATCAACCTGTAGCTACCTGCTTATTTGTTAAAAGGTTTAATGGTCAGATCAGGTTGTAATTTTAGAAAAAATACCAATATTTCCTGGTACATAAGAAAGCCAAAAAAGCATTATTAAGACCAAATCCAGTGGAATCTTGTGATGGAGAATATGAATTTGGAAATAATAGTGGTGGGTTTTAGCAGGTTCTTAAAATTATACAAGATTCACAATTTCTACATTTGTAAATCTAAGATTAAGAAATTGGATTTATTAAGGTAGGATGTGAAAATTGGTCATAAGTGATGAGAAGAATAAAAATATCACCCTTGAGAATATCTTTTTACTTACAGCTGAATCTTGGGAAAAAAACATAAAAGAAATGATATCTTTAATGGGGAAAAAATCCACAACTTTCCTTCTTTAAGAATTGAATTTAAAAGCTAGATATGTAGCATAAAATTTCTAGCCAAGATTAGAACCTGTATTCTCTGGTATGATCTGTGCAACACTATGCACGCAAACATACATGCACACAATTTCCCCGGTATACAATATACAAACTAAAAGGATTGGAGAAGAAAAACTAAACTTTTCCATAAATTGTGCTTTCAGATTATTTTGCTGTAATATAGAAGCTCATGGAGTACTACGTTAAAAGTCCTGATTTGCCTGCCTTATAGTCACATTTCATTGTATTTTAATATTTTCTTCAATTTCCAGTTGCATTGCTTTTGGCTTTGAAGTTTATTATATGCAGTCCTGTATCCTGATTTTTTTGTTCAACTTTAAAAAAAACCTTATGTAAACAAAAGACAGCACATGCAATGCAGTACTTATCTATACTTAGCTGTTTTTGTATGACTATGTACTCTGATGCCAATTTCCACAACTCTTGTAAAATGCTTCTTGTGTAACAGTAACCAATAGTGGCAATGATATGTCATTCTATCCTTAAAAAGCTGCAATACTTAAAAACAATAAATTTTACAATACTTTGGATTGCTTGCCTTCCCTTTTTCTGGGTTTGTTTCACCTAAACCTGTTTTATCTTCAAATTAGCAATAGCACTTAGACTTATATATATATCACTTCACAGTGTTTTACAGCCCTCTCTAAGCGGTTTTACAGAGTCATCATATTGCCCCCAACTATCTAGGTCCTCATTTTATGGACCTTGGAAGGATGGAAGGCTGAGTCAACCTTGAGTCAGTGAGACTCGAGCTGCTGACAGCTGTCAATCCCAGAAGTAACCTCCAATGCTGCATTCCAACCACTGTGCCACTACGACTCATAGATGCACCGTCTATGTTTTGAACAAATTAAAAGAATAACCTGCTTATGATTTTTGCACTAAAAAAATAACTTAGCATTTCAATGGTTCGAAGCTAGTAATATATTATGGGTTACATGATAGTTGTCCTCTTCAAATAAAGTATATTCCATTCTCTGGAACATATGCATGCTAGGTTAGGATATGTTGTATATGCCAGTATAGGTGCATTTGAAGGATTGCCTTTTTTTGAAAAAAAGCATTCCTGGTTTATATTTTGGTGTTCATAGAGATGGCAACTCTTTTCCTGAGAAGATAATTTTCAATGGTCAGAAGTTCATAGCTTTTTTCGCTCTCAATTCTTGTAGGAGAAGAACAGTCAGAACTGGGGGAGGGAGTTAAAAATGTCATCAGTCCTTACATAGCCACAAACTATCTGAATTTCTTTGACCATTAGGTAGCATCAAGTTAGTGCTGAGCCCTTAGTTGACTAAATTCTTATGTGTAGGCTTGAATAAATTTTGTATGCTGCAAACTAACAGATGGCCCTGATTTTTTGTGCCTGACACACTTCCAATTAGAAACATATAAACACAGAAAATTGACAGCAAAAAATGACCCAGAACCTACTGAACCTATCCTTTGAAGTTTTTTGTTTGTTTGTTTTTGGTTCATTTTTAATTAATTTATTTCTTCTAATTCTAGTTCATTTGAGGATCTTTCATTTTCTCCTTCCACTTCCCTGTCTTCTTCCTATTGTGATCAAATCAGAGTGATCACATTCAAATTATTACTGAAAAAGTCAAATATTTGCAGGCTTTTGTTGATGTCCTTGTTATTTATTAAAAAGACAAGGTGGGCATTTTCTGTTGCCTAGTCTGATTTTAAAAAGGACAGTTCCATCCTGGCCATTTAGTCTCATTTCCCATTTATTTATTCTCATTTGAGAATGAAACTGCCCATAATACAAAGTCTCCATACAAATCTGTGATGCAACCATGTTTGAAATATGGATGGATTTCACATCATACTTAAGATATAAAAGGGTTAAATTATGAGACACGGCAACTGAAATTATTAATTATAAAATTATAATAACCAGTCTTGAGGAAACTTTAAAGTCAATTTTTACAGGGCATCTAATGAAGGCAACTTTAGCCCACAAAGTGTGTATTAAAAAAAAGAGAGAGAGAGGTCCCGGAGCTTTGATGTTTTCTTGCAGACATTTCATTACCGAAACTAGGTAACAGTTTATTAAAAAAAAATGTTAGTGGTTGCAAAAAATATTTTTAAAATGGCATAACTAGGCAGCCTCAAAGGTTCAGGGGCTGGATCAAGCAAAGACTGAAATATCTGGAATATATTTGAATTCTGCATTGCCTGGAAAAAGCAGAGAGGAAATCTCATATTGTTATTTTTAAAGAATATGGTATGAGATTCAGTACAGAAAATTCTTTACAGAAACTAAACCTGGGGCAGTGATGAAATTCATTAAGACAATCTGCAGCCACTGAGCACAACTGTGAACAATTTTATTGTAAAGAAGTTCAAAAACAGCTGGCTATGCAAATTCGGCTGGATCAAACTAAACCGGGCTGTCCAAATTTGCTATCTGGGCCATCTGTGGCAGAACCCAGATAAGAGATCACAGCCCTTATCCAACAGTATTTGCAATTATCAGAATAAAAAATATGAGAGAGGCTCTTGCTAAAAAATTCCTAATGGCCCAATAGCCCTTTCTTCCCAGAGATTTCATTCAGAGGTGATATTCATCAGGTTCTGACCAGTTCTGGAGAACCGGTAGTGGAAATTTTGAGTAGTTCGGAGAACTGGCAAATACCACCTCTACCCCCATCTATTCTCTGCCTCCCGAGTCCCAGCTGATCGGCTGGGTCTTCTTTTGTTGACCTGAACAGGAGAACAGAGCTGGAAAGCAGGTTGGTGGGGTGGAGAGGGAATGGGGATTTTGCAGTAACTGTCCCCTGCCACACCCACCAAGCCACGCCCACAGAACTGGTAGTACAAATTTTTTGAATCCCACCATTGATTTCATTCCATTCTCTTTGCCTAAATTCTCTGGATATTCCTTTCCTTGCCATTATTTCTATCCATTTCTCAGTGGGCTGAGATCTGCAGTGGGAGTATAGTTTTAGATCTTTAAAGAGAAAAATGAGCAGATTGAAAAGGAAACACACACACACCCTAACTTGGTAATGGGTTGCAAAATAGTTTACCACCAGTTTGGTGGGCATGGCTTGGTGGGTGTGCTTTGCGTGTGTACACACCACTTTGCACACGCACGCCAAACATGTACTTTGCACACGCACAGAGGCATTCCTTCTCACCTCCTGCAACCCTGCACTCTCCCTGTAGTTTCAACGGGTGATGCATGACAATCTGCTCTGCCATGCAAAGAAGCTGGGCTTCAAAAGCAGGAAATAAAGGTCAGTATGGGAGCCCAGGAGGACGGGTGGGCCAATAGCAGCTCCTCAGAGAGAACCGGTTCGGTCTCCGCTGATCTTCGGCACTACCAGTATGCCAGAACTGGGCCGAACCGGTAGAATAGCACCACTGCCC